AGAGAGAGAGAGAGAGAGAGAGAGAGAGAGAGAGAGAGAGAGAGAGTTGTTGTAAATACGCAAACACGTCTTCAAGTTCTGCATGTCCGTTTTGGCGACATTGATCATATTCTGTCCGCTGTGCAGGCATCCCACCCTCCTTTTCAGAGTGTTTCTTCCTCCTTAATTTCAGCTCAGTGACCCGCACACTAAGGTCGGTGTCTAATCTTTCTAGTGGTTACTTAGTTTCTGTCAACTTGACCCTATCAAGATAGCTCTTAAAGAGTATAATGCTCAAGGCAGACATTCTTTTATAGTTAAGCTAAACTATTGCTTGGTTTTAAGAAGACTTCAAGAAATTAGTTGGTTTAAAGTTTAAAGATGATTTGGGGGCAATAGTTTCAGAAATTCATCCAGGCGCGATGGCTCCAGAACATCTTGAGTCCATGTAATTTTGAAGTTCTGTTCTACATTTTCCCCTTTTTGATCACATATCTTCCAAAGAATCTCTGATGAAACTATTCAATAATGGTAACTGGACACCACACATCTCGGATGCCATGGAAAGGAGGCAGTAATTAAAACAATATATACAATCACTTGATAATAAAGTTGAAGTTCTTTTTTCAAGAAAATGGCTTTGTCATTGGTATAATTTTAGTCATTTGGTCACTTGTATGATTCTGAGCACATTTATATAGCTCATTGTTTTACTTACATGAAAAACTCCAAAACCGAACCAAACTCACTGTCACTGAGCTCACAGAGATCCTACAGGGCAGGGTAGACCTGTCCCTGTAAGTTTTTGAGACTGTAACTCTTAAAAGTTCATCTTTTTCCTGTGGAGTGGCTGATGGCTTTGAACTGCTGACCTTGCAGTTAGCAGGCCAATGCACAACCCACTACACCACAAGGACTTTGAAAAAGTCCAGTGTCCATAAAAGTCTTAGATGTTTACATATCAAAATTTATTTTTCAGTCTTGCACGGTGTACCCATAACTCCTTTGCACACATCAGAGCTGTCATTCTATATTAGTTCACACAGATATTTATTCAGACTCAAAGTTCAACAATTATGGCAAACACTGTTGGCTACATTCTTAGGGGCCAGTCCTCCCCTGTCCTTAATAATTAATTCCAGCTTTTGAAGAATGCTAAAAATAAGTAAACTTACGGATGAATCATGATTTGGCTCAAATATGGCAATTCTACTGTCCTTTGCCAGGGACTAGCTCAAGGATAAGGATATGATTCACTTCTGAGCAGCGAGAGGTAGGAGATGTCGGCTGGGGATACGTCTTATGCTGAGTTCTCACCATGAAAAGGAGACAAGTGATTTAGGGGAAAGGCCCTTTTTCTACTCCCTCCCGCTTTCCTCACTGGACACTGTCATGTGTGGATGCTGCATCCAGGAGACTAAGCCAAGAGAATCTAGAAGCCTAATACCACTCCAATTCCAGAACAACCTTTCACTAGAGTTCTTACTAAGCTTACAGTCCAGTCTAATATTGCTAGGCCCTTTTTCCTTAAGGTTTCTGCTGCTTTTACCCAATATATTCTGATATTATTGCCACAGCAGCACTAGCCTGCAAAATAAATGCTTTTGTTTAAAACTCAGATCCTTTTGTTGTATTTTGATGATGTTATTGTTGGGTCGGGCACAGAGAGCCTATGTACAACAGAACAAAGCACCACACAGTCCTGTAGCATCCTCAAATTTGTGGTTTGAGCTCCTTGTTACAGCCCATAGGTCCATACCATTCCTTTGTTGCTGGCCTTCTAATTTATGAAGTACGGTGTCATTCTCCAGAGACTAGTCCCTCCTGATATGTCCACAGTGTCTGCGATGCTGTCTCACGATCCCCCTTATAAAGGTACTCTGGCTAGCCTTCTGTGGTCGTTAGATGATTTTGTCACCTTGAAGATGTATGAAAGTGCAGGCGAGAAATCGAATCTGTCAATGAGGTCACAGGCTGATGATGTCTCCTTGATGGTGTGGTCTTCTTCTGCCTTCAGTTTCCTGCTTGCTGGGACTCCCACTGACCTGAGAGCTGCTGGGGGCCTGCTATGCTCCCACCGACCTTGGATTCACACATTTCTGCACCTACTGGCCTGGGATCTTCCTTCCGTCTGCGTCGCTGCGTATGACAACATGAGTCTGAAGAGGGATTTATGGACTAATCCTGGACTTAGGGACTTTAGTTGGACTGGGCTGTGATTTCTTCTTAATATAAAACTTTCTTATACAGACATGAGTGTCATTGGATTTGCTTCTGTAGATAAACCTAGCCTAGCACAACATTTTGTGTGTTTTTAGAATATGGAGCTCATACAGATGATATAACAGTCCATAATCCAATTAGGTCAAACATAATTGTACAGTTGCTACTACAATCAGTTTCAAAACATTTTCTTTCTCCTTGAACACCTTGATATCAGCTCCCTTTTATCCCCTCCCTACCCCCACCCCAGCCCGGAGCTCTTATTATTATTATTATTATATATTAGTTTTACTTTTTAAAAAAATCATTTTATTGGGGGCTCGTACGACTCTTATCACAATCCATACATACATCA